CGGTGCGAGATGGGGGTCAGAGGAGCCGCGAAAGGGACCGCCAGCCGAGGAGACGCAGCCGGGGCTCCGAGCGGGGCAGCACGGCAGCGGGGAGGATCTCCACGAAGCCAGGGCTCTCCTCCCCTACCTGCCTCTCCGGGAGAGCTTTCCGTCCACCCCGCAGCGGGCACCGGCTGCTCCCGGCCGAGGGATGCGGGTGGTGGGTGGCGGCGCAGGGGCCGAAGCAGAGCTCCCTCCCCGCTGCCCCTCGACGTTTCTCCCTCACTCGGCCTCTTCTCCCGTCCCGTCCCGTCCTCCCCCCCGCCGCAGGTCGTCCCGGCTCTGCCCGACTTGGAAAGGTCAGGGGGAGCCGCGCTGACAGGTGCGCCGAGTGCCGCCGGCTGCCTTGCGCTCGGAACCCCGTCCTCCGCGACCTCTTTGTTTCGTGCGCAGGGCAAAGAGGACATTCCCATGAGGGGAAACGCCTCACTCACGATACATGGCGGCCCTTTCGGGGGCTGCCCTCGCCCCGTGCCCGGGACTCCGTGCCGAGGGTCCTGAGGAACCCAAGGCGGTTCCGTGCCACACATGGGCTGAGGATTGGATCAAAAAATAACCCCTGACTTCAGAGAGAGGTCTGACGAGGTCACGCGCCAGTGGAAAGTGTCGAGGAAATTAATAGCAAGTGGATTTTTGCCTGCGGGAAGGAATTTGCAGATAGCCACTGATAATTCCGCTCCTGCGATGCCCTCCCAGCTGACGGGCATTGGTGCTCGGCAGCGCACTTTGGCTCCCCAGGCCGAGCCCTGCGCTGCCCACCTGCATCCCGCAGCGCGGAGAGGGGCGCGGGGCCGCCCCTACGAGGCTCTACCATTGGCTCCCGCCTGATGGCGTCATCGGGGGCCCCGTGATGCCAAAGGCGCTGATTTTCGGTTCCGTGATTTTCTGAGAATAATGGAGGTGGGGAAAAAGGGACGGAACGTTCGGGCTGGGCCCGGGCACGGCATCCCGGGAGCAGAGCGTAGAGAAGGGTCCGTAGTTTCACCCTAGAGCGACTCGGCCTTGAATTGAAAACGAACAAGCAAAAAAACAAACAAGAAAAAAAAAGAAGAAGAAGAAAAAAAAAAAAAAAAAAAAAGGAAGACTCAAATAAATTATCATTATTAATAATATATATTTTTAAAGTTTTGCTAGGAACCGGGGCGGGGCGGGGCTGGGGGCCGTGCCCGAAGGCTCAGGCAGGTGCCAAGTTCGGATGCACACAACGCGGACCCGGAGATCGGTCCGGAGCACGGGGCTGAGATGCGGAGGGACTTTGGAGTGATGAGGCACTGTGTCTGCACGACCCCAGGGGGGCAGGGGCAGCTCGGCCCGGCCCTAGACTTCTCTTGCTCTCTCCCTGGGGTCATCTCTATTCCAACATAAACTACCTCATGCCGCTAGGAACGCTTTTTAATAATGATCGACATTGCACGGATAGAGGCAATGTGTGTACTTTACGTGTACCTCCGAGCACAGCCCCGCCCGGTGCCGGGTGCGCTGCAGAGCCGAGAGGTGCAGCGGGGCTGTTGCTGGGCAAAATCCGCTCCTGAAATAAAGACTCGACCTTCGCCCCTCTGGAAAAATAATAATAATAACACTAATAATACAAATAACACTTTAGGAAGCCTAGCACAAGGACTTTTTCCCCTCTCTCCTCCTTCTCAGTGCCGTTATAAATAGGCCACCTTCAGATCTCGGTCCGGTACAAAAGGAGCCCGCAGCTCTGAAGTGACCACGCCAAATAACTCAATGAGAAAATAAACCGGAGACGGTTTCCAAGAGCGAGGCTCTGACAAAGGGCAGGGGAGAGGGGTGAAAGGTGCTCGCGTCTCTGCAGTCCTTCCGGCGAGGTGAGCCCTCTCCTCGCACACCGCGAGGGGCTCCAGGAGGGAGCAGTGGTCCCGGAGCGGCCCCCCTACCCCCGCGGTGCCTCACCCCGGGATTCCCCCGGCGTGAGCTGGGAAGGCGGAGGAGCGCATTCCGGGTTTCTCCCCACTTACGCGGCGGCACCGGCGGGCACTGCGGCCTGCAGCCGGCCCGTGGCACACGCCGGGGTGGTTGAGTGGCAGGAGACGGGCTGGGGTCGTTTTAGCAGAGGTCGCGGTGTAACATCCACCCGCCATCGCCCGCCCCTCGCCCTGCGCCTCACCCCGAGCTGTACCCGCTCCTGCACCCACGGAAAGCGAGCGGCTCTCGGGAAGGATCCTGCGGGGCGGCCCCCGGCAGCCCGCTTCTTTCGGAGGTTTTGCCGGGAGGGGATCACTCACGGTCTCCGAGGAGGACGCGGCGAATGGTCCCGACACGGACCGGTCTGGGGACCGCTGCCGCTCGGAGCCGGATCGCTCCTACCTGGGCGTCCCCGTGCGGGAGGTGACCCTCGAGAGTGCCGCCTCCCAAACCAGCAGCAGTTATGCCCGATCTAAAGCACACACAAAAGCACGCTTCGTGAATAGCCCAGCGGAGCTCAGACTTTTCGGCCGCTCTTCCGCTTTTCCCTCTTGTACGTATTCTTTGTAGGGACAAAGCAGATTCGGAGATACTCGAAGGAAGAACGATGGGATGGGGTCGCGTCCCTCCCGCCCCGCGCCACCTCTCGGAGCCCCGCACAGGGCCATCCCGTGCGGGACGGGCGGCGGCAGGGAGAGGCGCCCGGCGGCCGAGCGTCGCGATTCTGTTCGCGGGGCTCAGCGCACAGGAACGGGGCTGGCGGGTCTTCCTCAAAAATAGTCGGGAGGGCTTCAGAGAAAACTCACCTCGGGAGAAGGAGAACTCTCTGGATAAGCGGTTTCCCGTTATTCCCCACCACCACCACTCTGCCAGGTATCGGCGTACGCCTTTTCTCTCGGTAACGATTCCCGCGGTAACCGCCCGCTCCCAGAGGCACAAATCGGCCATTAGAGAGAGGGGTTTATTGCATTCCTTTCCGCGGGCTGCGCATCAACCTCCGTCGGGACCCAATTTAGTTTTCGTTGCAGCCCGGGGCTAAGAGGGGCCGCGCAGCACTCTCCGAACCTACCCGTCGGTAGCCCCGGAACCGGCACCCTGGCGCTGACGAAAAGATAATAATAAAAGAATATTCATTTCCATCGTTTCCCGCTCCATCCTGGAATCTCCCCCTCTCTCATTTGTTGCTGTTATTTCAGCATCAGCTTCTCTGAACAGAAATCGCCACAGATCTGCACGGTTTCTTTCGCAGAGCGGTTTCTCCACAGCCGCACAGCCCTCACTGCCCGCACAGCCCTCACTGCCCGCACAGCCCTCACTGCCCGCACGCAGCGCACACGGCGGCCCAGGAGGTGCTCGGGGCTCCTCCGGCTGCTGGCAGCGGGCATCGGGAGCGCCCCGCTGCCGCTCGGCTCCAGGGCTGCCTGGCAGTGGGGAAAAAACGGCGAGCGTTACGCAGCTTTGCTTTTTATTAAGTCGTGGAGAGGAAGAGAGGGAGCTGCAGTGGGGGAAAAACCGGGAGGTAAAGAGAAAAACGGAAAAACGAGGAAAGAATTAAGCAGGTAATAAAGAGAATAAGGAGGGAAAATCCTCTGGAAGCTGTCTTGGAACAGAAACCTGAGGGAGCCCGGGGCGGACGCACGGCTCTGAGAGAGAGGAATGATTCGGGACCAAGCGCGGGTGGCGCGGGGGGAGCCCCGTTCTCTCAAGGGCAGCGTCGAGCGGTGACCCCCCGGCTCGCTCCGTCCCCTCGGCTGCTGCCTCCCCACAAACACCCCGGGGGAGGCGGTTGCCTCAGCCCGCCGGCCCCCCGAGCCGCCCCCCGCTCCCCCAAATACATACAAAGAGATGAAAGCCGAGGGGCTGCCCCTCTCCGCGCTGGGAAATGAGTGGGGGGCAGCGGGGGGACACGCGGGCTGGGCTCGGGGGGGACTGCTGGGGACAGGGAACCGCCGGAGCCCCCTATCCCAAAGGAGTTAAGGGGCTTCTTCTCCTTCCTTTCCTTTTTTCCTGTCTTTTTTTCTTTCTTTTTCTTTTTTCTTTTTTCCTTTTTTTTTTTTTTTTTTTTTTTTTTTTTGACTGAAGAACTGTGGATGCAGTTTGCGTAATATCTTTATTACCGAGAACTTCAAGGTAAGTGGGCAATAGGAACCAGATGTGGGGCCGGGAGGAAGGCAGGGCGAGGGCGAGGGGACGTGCGAGGGGCAGCGGGAGGTACCCGGGGGAGGGGGCATCGCTTTGGCTGCTGGGGGGGGGTGGGCGGAAGGTGCGCACTGATTTATTTGTAAGCCCCTTTTGGGCCGCCATTGACCTCTCGGAGCAGTAAGGCCCCTTCCAGATTCCGCTCCTTTGCAAGTTCACGTCTGACCATCCCAAAGCCTATTCTGTGCTCTCGGAGGCCCCGTTGCAGCCCCTCCCTGCCCCCCGCTTCCCCCCCCCCCCCAGTTAGTTACACCTGGAGAGAGCGCGGATGTCCGGAGGTAAAAAAACCACGGCCGGGTACCCGCTGCCAGGAGACGGAAAGGCTCCAGGAGAGCAGGGAAGGGGTTAACGGGGCTGGAGGAGGCCCAGAGGCCCGCGGGGACCTGCTGTAAGGAGCCCAAGGGGGTGGGGGGGGCGTGGGTTAGGGTTGGGGGTTCCTCAGCTGCGCCGCTCGGCCCAGGGTAGGAACAAATGCAGCGTGGCAGCAGCGCGAAGCCCCGCGCATCCCCGCGCCTGTCCCGAACCGCGTTAATGCCATGTGCTCGTCTGCTTCGTTTTCTATTTTTTAAACATAAATAGCTTTATTTTTTCTAATGAGAAAGATACGACCCCCACCCCCCTCTGCCTCCACACCCCCATCCGCATCCACGCACACCCCTACCCGGGCCCCCTCCCCTCCACTGTCATCATCTCCATATTAATTGGGGGAGAGGTCTCTCTTTTTTTTTTTCTTTTTTTTTTTTTCTTTCTTTTTTTTTTTTTTTTTCCTGTGCGTGGGGGGGAAAGCGACGAGAAGAGCCTCTTTGGGCGGCGGAGAGTTCGGAGGGAGAGAGAGTGTGGGAGAGAGGGAGGGATAGAGGGAGGCAGAGCCCCTCTGAGATCGGATCGGGGCCGGGCGGCAGCGGCTGAGCCCTCTTACAGCTCCCGGCCCCGCTGTGGGTGTGCGCGTATGCGGGAGGGGGAGAAAGAGAGGCTCCTGGTGCCCCTCCAAGCGCATTAAGGACACTCGGGCCTTTTAATTTTAGGAATGAATGCTGATACTTGTGTTTCTTATTGTGATCCGGCTGCCATGGATTCCTACTACAACGCAGCCTCCCAGGGCGCAGACGGCTCCTCGCCTTTTAGGGCATTTCAAGCGAGTGACAAGTTCGGCCCCGCTTTCCTGGCCGCCAAAGGACAGAGCTTCGGTGACAGCGGCGCGAAGTGCCGGAGCCGCTACAGCCCGCAGGAATGCCCGTCCCTGGACGGCAGCGGGCAGGCGCCGGGCCCCGCCGCGCCCCCGCCCGCCTTTAGCAAATACCCGCAGCCCCAGCAGCAGCCGCCGCACCTCTATATGCAGCGCGGCCCCTGCAAGACCCCACCGGAGAGCAATCTCAAGCTGCAGGAGAGCGGCAGCCACAACGGAGCCTTGCAGGTCTCCTGTTACGGTGAGTGCGGGCCGCGCGATGGGGCCGGGCCGAAGAAGGGCTCCCGGGGCCGGGGGGGCTCCGGGGGCGGCCGCGGCTACCCCTCGCCTCGTTTTGCCATGGTTTTGCGGCGAGCGCCGGGGCGGGAAGAGGCAGAGGCTCGAGGAAATTCTGGTAAATGGAAGAGAAAAGCAGTGCGGAGAGCCGCTCCTTGCCGAATGCCACCGCGGGATGGCTGCGCTGGGACAGAATGTGGGGCGAATGTCTCCGCGCTCTGCCCACGCCGCCGCCCCGTCCCTCTCCCCCCACGCTGCTGCCCGACGAGCCGTGAGCTGGCCGGAGCCCTGGGGCTGCTCCTCGCGCGTGTCCCGAGGGCTCTCCGGAGAGGACGAGCTGTGCCCGGGAGGTCGGGGAGCGGAAAAATAGGAAAGAAAAAAAATAGGAATAAAAAGAAATCAAATCCGCCACCCTCTATTTTTTCAGAAGGGAAGGTGAAATGAACTTCTCCCCTGGTCTCTCGGTGCTCTGCGGGCAGAGCGGGGCTGCAGTGCCCCCGTCCAGGTGCGCCCGCCGTGACCCTGCCGGGCAGGCACAGGGACGGTGACACGGATAGACCCTGCCGGGTGCGCTGGAAGCACAGGGAGGGCAGCGGGGAGAGGTGGGGAACGGTAGTATTGAGAGGAACTCAGAGATTCCAGCTCCCGCTTTCCCGTCTCCCGCCGCCACATCAACGGCGGCGTCTGTACCCTCTTTGCTTTCTCTTTCTCCCCCACGCACCTTCCTTTCCCTCTGTGCAGGTGTACGAGCCCGCAGACGGACCTCCCCGGCCCCATTCACCCTGAGTAAAGCTGAAGGGATCCCCGCACCCCTCGCCCCATGGCCCCGGGCATAGCTCCCCTCTCAGCTGCTCCCCCGTTATTTACTCTGCGCCAAGACCCGCTCCCCAGTGCCAGCCGGGGCCGCTCCAGTCACCCCATTTTGGGGCTGCACGTCTTCCTGTGGGAATGGGCCGAGACCGGCGGGTGGCCATTCCACATTCGCGGAGGGGCAAAGAGGGGCGCGGGGGAAGGCCGGTGCCGCCCCACCACTAACCGGCTCTCTTGTTTCCGTAGGCTGAAAAAGCCCCGAGCGCCAGCTCAGCTCGCGAGGGCGTTTTGCAGCCCAGGGCAGAGCCACCCGAATCTGCCCCCGCCGTCACACTAGCGGGCGACCCCGATACTTCTCTAAGGGGATTTCGGATGGAGCCCCGGGTCGGGAGCTGATGGCCCGGCGCGGCCACGAGCGCAGTGCGGTGCGATCGGGATCGGTGGGGCTGTAATAGGAGCCACATGGCTCCTCGAGGATAATTAACAGCAACACTAATAACGAGGGCTAACGATTTAGGAGGGCGTCTCGTTAATAGTAGCCACGTTCGGCTTCCTCGGAGCGAAAGCAGCGATGGCGGCAGCGGGCTGAGCTCCGCCGGGCGCGCACCGCGCCGGGACCCTCGGGGCGGAGGCGGAGGCGGAGGCGGCCGCTCTTCTCCCGCTGATAGCAGAGGACGTCGGAGCGGCGGCGGTTCGCTCGGGATGGCCGGGATAGGCCGAGGCCCCGCGGCTGCTCCGGCGCTTGTCCGGCTCTCCGAGCCGCCCACTGGGGCTCGGTTCTCTATTAAAATAACTCCACTCAAAATAAAATAAAATAAATATATATATGTACGCATATATATAATAACACAGCGAGAAAAACACGAGGCCGTGGAAAACGGAGCCTCTCCCCGGCGGTGCTCTCAGCCTGCTCCTCCCAGCGCTCGTTGTACTGGGGCCAATGCTCGTTCAAGCCTCTCAAACCAGCCGGGGGATTTCTGCTTTAATTTTAATTCCTTAGTAAACACGTTCCGAGCTATAAAAAGCCCCCGCCTGCCCTTTATAGCTCCCGGCGTCTATTTCCAGATCGAATCCCTTCCATTGCATTGTACGGATAAATATAGGCAGGGAGGGCACCGGCCGCGCATCGGTGCAGGAAGCGAGCGGCGGTTCTCGGGGTGCTCCGCGGGGCTCCCCCCGCTGCGGACGGCCGCGCTCGGCTCCAGCTGGCACCGCCCTAACGGGGGGCTGCGGGTCGGCCTGCGGACCGGCACTGGCAATTAAAGAGAAATCTTCAATAAAGCCCCGGAGCGGGACACATATCGCGGTTCTCAGATGATTGATGCGCCGCGGTGATTGAGCTGCTATTTCTACAGTGCGGAACCGGAGTTAAGTTGTGCGTCCTGAACTTATGTGCGTCTATACCCGTACACGGCAACGCGCGCGGAAGTACGGGCTGGAAAAAAAGCTTCGGGCGGTGGAATATGATGGGAATATGATGGGGACGTGTACCCGCGGGAGGCAGAGAGAGGAAACGGCCTTCTTCGTGCTGAGGAAATCTGTAAGTGCGGGGTTAAGCACATAACGAGCATTTCTTGTCTTTAGAGAGCGGCAAAAAGCGCAGTCTGGAACGCGTTGTTGTTAGCAGAAAGCGAGCGCCGTAGGAATTATTTGTCCGCTGCGCACTTTATTACTGTTGCTATTATTTTAATTGACACTTCTAATGTTTTTCTCCTCCCCTCCTCCCCCCGGTGCACACGGCAGGCCCCCCGCCTCCGGGACACGTCGTGCCCGGTGCCCGCCTCCGCTACCGCGGTGGCACCGCTCTCCCTGTGCTCCTTTCGCCGGCCCCAAGCGGGGCGATGCCGCGCCCCCGCCCCGAGCCTGGTTCCGTCGGACCACCGCCCGCTCCGGTGCGCGCAGGGCGTACGGTACCGCGGGATTCGGGGTGCGCCGCCGCCCCCGTCCCGGCTTCTGCCCCGCGGCCGAAGGGAGGCGGGCGGGGAGAGGGGGAGCTGCCCGCACCCCGGGGGCCGGGAGGGGTGGGGAGGTGCTGCCCTGGCCCCCCGCTATAAAGGGATGCCGTCGGGACGCGCGGCGCGGCGCCAGCGGAGCGGGGACGGAGGAAGGAGGACGGAACCCCGGGGAGGAGAAGGGCGAGCGGCCGCGCCGGCGCTGTCCTTCCCGCAATAGGATCAACAAATCCGCCGCTCAGGGAGAGGAGGGAGCTCCCGCCGGGAGTCAGGCCGAGGCGCTCGGCGGTGCGGGGTCTCCTCCGCGGGAGCTGCGGGACCCCCTCGGCCAGCGGCACGCCAAGGTAGGGCCCCGCTCGTCTATCGCCCTCGGAAGGGCTCGGTCACCGCTTTTCGCGGAGCTGCCGCGCTCTTCGCGTGGCTCGGTCGGAGAGCTGGCTGTGGAGACCTCGGTAAAGATCCCGGCCCGGGTTGTTTATACCGCTCGTGCGCCAGCGGAGAGGAGCTCCCCCGGGGAAGGTCTGTTTTCACGGGAGCGCTGTTTGTTTTCCATTTGTCCGCTGCCGAGCGGGTTTAGCTCCGCTTTGGCCCCGCGCTGCTGCTGCGCACGGTTGTAACCTTACCGGAGACGGGACGGGTGCGGAGAGAGAGAAAAAAAGACTTCGACTCGTCCTTGTCTGAATTGTTTTGAAACAAGACGGGAAAAATACCGATGGGGAGAGAGATTTGGAGATGCTTACTGCGTGCGTCTTTTCCTAAGGGTTTGATGTGTTATTAACAATATATGCTGATGCCAGATAGCGCAAACGAGCGGCTTGTGTGTTATCTGGGGCTGCAGGCTGTTTATTTTGTGCTCCCTTTGAGTGCGCTCTTGGTGCGGTTGCATGACTAACCGGCTGCAGTGATTCACTGGCTGCTTTCTGGGTGATTGCTCCAAACAAGTTGTGAATCAAAAGAGAGTTCCCCGGCTGTGGTTTCTAACCTCCCAAGTCAAAACCCGGAGCAGGTTTAAGGGGAGCTGATGAGCAGTCTTCAGTCCTTCAGATCTTGAAGATTTATCCCCCTTCCAAGCCCTGTATTCAGAATCGTGATGAGTTTCCCTTGTAAGAGAGAGGTGGTGTCTGGGAGGCTCGCAGCCAAGCTCTGCACTGGAGGACATCTCCAGCCACAGCCCTTCAGCCCAGCTGAATCTGTTCAGAGTCTTTCAGCAGCTGTATAATTCTCAGGTAAGAAGCATGGTGCGCTTTGGGCAGCAAGTGACTTCTCATCCCATTTTTCAGATGGAAGAACTGAGGTTCAGGATGCAGGAACAGCTCGTGCAAGGCCAGGCTGCCACCACGCAGTGGCATCAGTGCAGTCTTCCTCAGGCCCAGCTCTAGCAGCAGGACTTTCCCGCGGCTGGGGAAGGATTGGTGGAGTTACTGCGAAAACTCAGCAGGAAGAGGTCCCTCGGTTTGATTTTGGAGGGGGTGAGCTTGGCTTTCCTGGGCCAGACCCTTGTCTGGTGCAAGCAGTTGTAGCAGTCGGTGTGTTCTCATGTGTCTGGGTGCCTCAGCACAGAGCAGAAGCTCAGCCTGCCAACCTACATGAATGGGCTCAGCTTGGGCAGCTCAACAAGCGATGGGTTGGTCACAGCTTTTCAGAAAAAGCTGAGAAATCCCTGCCACAAGAGCAGTGTGTTTCTAAAGCATTTCTCCTATGCCCCTGGAGGGGGAACAAAAAAAAAAAAAAAAAAGGGAAAAAAAAAGAAAAGAAATTCTGATGTAACTATTAATCCGTTTGGAAAGTAAAGGTCTTACATATTTTGGAGGCATAGTGATATGCCTCCAAAAGGAAAAGAAGCAGCTCTGGATGAGGAGAAGACTGAGCTGTGACACAGCTCATAGAGGATGCTGTGATTTGAGAATCATTTACAGAGGGGTGGATAGGAAGAGTTCATATGAATAAAATGTAATTTACAGTTTATTTACAGTTGACAAATTCACAGCTGTTCTGTGTCTGTCTGCTACCCCAGCTTCTCAAGTAAAAGCTCTTAAGTAAAAGAGGAAAGCTAAAATATATGAAATGGACAACCTCCTCTTTATTTTCTGCTTGAGTTCAGGCAGATCAGCATTATTACACACACTGACTCTGCTGGGCTGTGCTTTTGTTTGTGCTCACACACAGCCTTTGCATTTTGACTGTCACTGCTACAGGCACAGTG